TGCCAGGCAGGTGCTTTGCCGCTGAGCTAAATCCCCAGCCCCTCCAATAGCAAACATTTAGTAAGATGCATAATTCAAAGTGGCATCTGAGACAGGGCACTGTCAATGCGGGTCGTGACGTCATATACCTGACACATAACTAAATGCAATGTGTAAACCTCCATTGGATCCTACTGGTTGGGGGAGGGGAGCAGTGAGCCAAGCTAGGCGGCATCTACGCATCTGTATCTATATTTCCAGCGGTGCGGAGGCAGAGGCAGCACTGTCTGAGCCCAGAAGTTCAACACTGGCCTTGCAGCATCAGTGAGACCCCGTCCTTTCCAAACGGGAGGGTTGGACACGGGTCACACCGAGCACTCGTTGCCTAACATTAACAAGAAATCTTTCAACATCTCAGAAACGGATGTTGAGGGAAGTGTGTATCCACAAGGGGCTCTTGGGAAATCACAGACTCTCAGGGTTGTGAGATTTGAGGATCACGCAGAGCCTTATACTTTTTTTTTTTTTTTACTGACATTGAGTGGTTTTATTTCACCAACCTCATTCACAGGGTCACGTTATGCTCTGTGTTAATCATCATCATCATCATTAAACTAAAAGGTGAAGGTAGATGGACATGCTGGCACACACCTGTAATCCCAGTTCTAGGGAGGCTGAGGCAGGAGGATCACCTCGGGCTGGAGGCCAGCCTGGGCTACACTGCAACTTCACGACCAGCTTGCACTACATAATGAGTCCCTGTCTCAAAAAATTTTTTGACTCCGGGCGTCATGGCGCATGCCTGTAATCCCAGCACTCGGGAGGCTGAGGCAAGAGGATCATTGCGAGTTCCAGACCAGCCTGGGCTACACAGTAAGCTCAAGTTCAGCCTGAACTGCATAGTGAGACCCTGTCTCAAAACAAGACAAAAAAAATTTTTTTCTTGAGGGCCGGGGATATAATTCAGTGGCACAGTACCTGCCCGGCAAGCACAAAGTCCTGAGTTCAATTCTTTTCAAAAAATTTATTTGAAATAATAAAAGGATCAAAGTGTCTATAATATGCTCCAACTGGTATCAGGGTCTTCTTCAGGGACTGGTAGCAACATAAAACTTCACTTTCCTGTGTGAATGCACAACCAGCATGTATTGTCAGCAAAATCCACTGAAGAGTCTTTGACTCCACTTACAAAGGAACAAAAGCCCTAAAAAGCCCGAGCTGCCTGGTTTCCTATCGGGAAATCTGGGACCCGTGTGCTCGCGCGCCCTCTGCTGGCGGAGCGGGGCGTTACCGCTGCTTTTCTCTCAGCACAGGGCCATCGGCGCCAAGGCTGCGGACGCGGGCGGGAAGCGCGCATTTTGGGCCGAAGCAAGTGGCGGCCGCCGTAGTTCAGTGTGGAGGCCAGCGCCGCGCCCCGCCCCACAGTCTCCGAGGGCGGAGCCTGATGCGCTTCCAGGGCGGGGCACGCCCCTCCCTCCGCCTCAGCCAATCGGCGGCGTGGGGCGGGACCTGACGGGGGCGGGACGGGCGGCAGGGGCGTGTCCGAGCGGG